TCTCTCTCTCTCTCTCTCTCTCTCTCTCCCTTTCCACCCTTTTCTTTCGTTTTCGAGCCAAATAATCCTCGAATAATCCGATCCACGCTCCCACGCATCTTTCGATCTTATCTTTCCATCCGTGCGCTGCTCAAAGCTGCTTTTGCTTTTTGCGAATTCGTATTCGCAAATTTGTACAGAATTACAATAGTCGTTGCTCGTCGATTTTCTTTCTTATCTTGGTGGAGGAAAAGAAGATCTTTTCCTTTTCCTTTCTTTTCTTTCGTTCCTCTTCTTCGCGATGTTCGTTCGCAAGTATAAAGAACGAAGGTAGAGAGTAGTGGTTGAAGTTCCGATCGATGCCAAAATCTAAGAGAGGCACGATTGAATTAATTCCCAAGACCGGCGTCAGTCGAGGAATAAGCGATTTTATTCATGCAAGGGAAGAGAAATCTCGTATTCAACGCGTTATGCCTCCACTAGCACCATATATTTTATGGTGAATCCGTGGTTAGACTTATAGGCGCACTGACGTAACGTTAACGTTTTCGTCATACTTTTGATTTGACGTCCTTGCTGTTATCAATGTCCCTCGCAGACGTTGATTTAATACCCCAAGTTCAAACGATCGCCTGGCTGGCGCCTCCTAGAAGACCTCGTAAACAATCGTCCCATGGAAAATTCAACATTGCTCTTATCGTGTCTCGTTATCTTTCTAATTGCTCTATCTTTCTAATCTTTGGAAAAAAAAAAAAAAAAAAGAAATTCCATTTTCAAGAATTTCTAAAAATCTTCCACTTTGAAATCAATTTTAAAATTTACTCGTACATTCGAAAGAGGAAAAATCTTTGACGGTTGATCATAATCGATTTATTAAATTAATAGCATTTCGAAAACGAAAATTCTTTGTCCTTCGATCAAAGCGTGAAAGTACAGGCGTGAGGATCGATTTCCTCGATCGATTTTCATCGAGATAACGACGTCCTCGGGCGGGCAAGCAGGTGCAACCCGGGACAGATCTCGTTTCGCATCGGGATGCAGAATCCGTAGCCGTCGTTGCGAATACTCGTGGGCGTTTATGTCGGTTGACTATACACCTGCAACTATTTTATGTCTTCCCTGGAAAGGCTGGACAGTAAATTCCGCTCGGCCTACCTGGCCCGTCGATCCTCTGACTGCTGATCAGAGAGATCAGTGGCGTACAAAGGGAGCGGTAACCACCCAGGAGACTCGATTATTCATCTCCCTTCCTTTAAATGAAAGTCGAAGAAGATTTCCTGCTCTTCCTCCTCCTCTTCGAACGACTTCGAGATCAGTCGACTTTACGTTTTTAAAAAATCGTTTTTAAGAATTAATAATCGATTTCGATCAAAATCAACGAATCGTTTAATTTTTTTTTTTTTAATTAATTTAAATTCTACGTTATGGCAGTATTCGTACGTTTCGAGTACATGAAATTAAAGATTTCCTTTTATCTTTTTCCGCCATGGAATGAAGCTCGTTCAGAGAAGGATCGTGCAAAGAGCGGGACAGAGCGTTTA